AAATCTTCAAACTACCGGATCACTCATTTTAATACTCGGCTACAAACAGATTCACTGTCTGTGCAACTGACGTCCATGCTGGTTCCGAGAGCCATTCTTCACTTTGTTGCTGCCATAATTTCGTTATCTTCGTCCGATGCTCATGAACCACACGATGAACACGTTAAGGTTTAGGAAGTGATAAGGGCCATTAGGAAGATCTAGTTTGCTAGTCCATTTGTCATCGCCAAAGAGTGATCACATAAACGGAAGTTATTGTGCCAGACAAGGAGGTCCATAAAGAGCTCTCGCCATGCAAAATTCTCCAGCTTTACCTCCTCATTTCTGTTTTGTTGGGTCATAAAAAGTTAAGGACTACTAAGAAATGCTACTAAAATTTGACAGTCGCTATAAAAACACATTCTTAGAGGGCTCGCTTGCTGAGGGCAGCGCTGTGTGAAAGCCCTGCCATAGCCTTGGTTATTTATGCTTTTAAAAGCCATCTCTGCATCTGTGAGTGTGATGTATGTATGTACATGGTTACATGCTTGTGTGAAGGTGCATGCAGAGGCCAGGAGTCAACATCATGTCTTCTCAGTCACTCTCCACCTTAGTTTTTGGGACAGAGATTTTCACTGTATCTAAGGCTCATCTGTAGGGCTAGACCAGCTGCAAAGCAAGCCCCATGGATCTTCCTGTCTCCATCTCCCAGCACTTGGCATTGCAGTGGCTTTTAATGTGGATTCTAGAAATCTGAACTCAGGGTCTTAGGCTTGTCCAGCAAGTGACAGCCATCTCCCTTGACCTGAGACTGTCTCTGTCAAGTAAGAGTTTTTCTGTTCAGTTTTTATATTAGACTTTCTCGATCTCTTTGATGATAATGATACATCCTTGTTTGGTGTAACAATATTCTTCTTTAATCTCCTCTACGAACCCTCTATCTCCTTTCCCCTATAGAGTGAATGAAGTGTCTAGCAGGCGGTAGGAATGTGCCTGATTCCTGCACACACATGTGGATCCAATGAATAAGATCTCCGTACATGTGCGCATTTGTAAATGCAAAGCAACATTACTCGGAGGCCTTCGGCTGTGGCAGAGGACCGACACCTTTGTCTAGAATTGTTAGGGAAGAAGTGTCTGCAGTAAGACTGACACTAGGAGCCAATATTCTACTTTGTACAGATGGGATAGGAATCTTTCTAAACTTCTACCTTTGCAACAGCCAACAACAACTAGACATCCTGATGACAGTGGCACACCGTTATGACAATCACTCAGTAGACGCTAAGGCACAGAGAGTCTTGGGATGATCTCTGGCCCTTCTCTTTCTTGTCTACCTTTCCCCTTTTGCCATTGGGATATTGCCACTATGGTGCGTCTCCTTGTTGCACGTTTAAGACTTTGCATTTTCTAATTCATGTTCATGATTGAATATAGACTCGAAAAGCTCAGTGGTCATAGTCCTCTATCCAGCTTTCTGTGAGGGCGAGTTCATCTCTCTTAAGCGCTGCTCTCTCCTGTTTACTAACCTTCACTTTAGTAACAGAAAATTTGGTAAACAAATGTCCTCCGGACACGTGGGGACAGACACACAGCGGCGAGAACTGTGCTGCACTAATGTGCAGGTCCAAGGGCTGAGAGGGGCACGATGTGATTGGCTGAAGTCCCGGGGTGATGTCACACATCTTTCATTCCTTGCATTATATGATCCAAAGTAGGAAAGAATTTGAAAATATGAAAATAGCAAATGTTTTAAAACCCTATCATTTTCTCCTTCTAATTAAGGACTCAGGCATGCCTCATTAACTCTGCAAACTATCCTGGTTACTCTAAGACACAGACTGGTAAGTTACACAAAATAGCCCACATTTCAGGCAGATGCTGTTGATCTAGGTTGCACTGCTGGGCATTGCCGAGCCTAGGAGAGTGAAACAATCATTCTCCTGTGACTCCTCTCTATTAGCTTCACATAAAAAGCACGCCATAGGCTGCTGAGATGACTCAATGTGTAAAGGCACGCCATAGGCTGCTGAGAAGGTCAATGAGAAAAAGCACCTGTGCCAATCCTGAGGACCCAAATTCAATCTCTGGGACTCATATGGTAGAAGGAAAAAATTAGCAAGAGTTAATTTTTAGTCTTGTCCGATCTCCACATATATGCTATGACAGACTCTAGCTTTCCCTCTCTATCTACACACATACATACACGCACACATGAGAGAGAAAGAGATGAAAATAACAGAGCATGTTGCTATCAGAATCAAATACTCAAAATCAAATGAGGACTCCTGAACTGTGACCCTCGAAGGATGGCCTGGGGAGGGATGTATGCTCTAAACGTGTTACTGATACCTAGGAGTCAACACTGAGAGCAGTGTATAGAGATGGATGGACAGATGCTGCTGGGGCTCAGTGCTGGTGTTTGAGAGCTTCAGTTACTCCAACCACAGAGCAGTCAGTAGAGCACAAAGAGAAAAGTGCTCCTGGCTTCAGTCGTTCAGGGCCTCACGGTCATGCCCCCTCCTAGAGAGCAGTCGGTGCTCAGCAAGGCCTTACATCCTGAATGACTGGAAGACGAGTGACATTGATTGCAAGCTGGGGTTAGGCACAGTGCGGCACTTTGAGTACAGTTTTCTTTCCTCTGGATACGTTTAACATTTTCTCTTTATTACAAGCCAAGAGCAATTTGATTACAATGTTCTTTGTATAGTTCCTTCCATTTTGTGTGTGTGCTTAGACTTTCCTAACTTTCTAGATATAAAAATGTTTGGTTTCATTAAATATAAAAGGTACTCACTTTATTTAGCTATTCTCTGCTCTCTTCCTTGCCCTCTTCTGTGGGAAAACAGTACACATATCAGCCTACTGAGTACAACTATACCTATACTGTTTTTCTTCTCTGTGTGTTTCATTTTCTATAGTTTCTTATACTGTCTTCAAGTTATTTGACTTTTTTTTTACCCTTTTGCATTATGTAGTCTGCCATTAATTTTATTCTATGCAATTTTAATTTCACACACTACTCTCAAGACTTCAGAGCTTTGATTTAGGTCATCTATATAACTCCCCTTAACTTTTAGAACACATGAAATACAGAATTTAAGTTAAAATCTTTGCATTCAAAATCTTGTAGTGTCCAAGACACTTCTTCACTTTTAAATTGTCTTAAGGGCATACGAATTTCTTAAGGAACATAAAAAAATGATAAAAAAAACAGAAAAGTATATCGACAAATACAATAATTTATTTAAGATTGTATCTTAAAATAAAATATGTGATTTGCTATCATGTAAATCTTCATGCCTCAGGTCAGGCTCACCCAAGTATGCTGATGTAGTAGGTGCATTGAGGAAGGGAAGCTGGAGAGGAACTGTGCGCATGGGGTCCTCTTGATCTCACAGAGAGACAACTGCTTAATCTGCTACATCTTCTACCATTTCTGAATCCAGTGTTCTGATGGTCCTGCATGCTGCAGCGTGTAGCAGTCACATGGCCTCTGTTCAAGAAGTCATGTGACACACAAGAGAGCCATAATTTGCTCAGAAAAGATGGGGCCAGCCTAGGTTTGAGCTATGATACAAACCAAAGCTTCTGAGCATACGCATGAAAGTTTAGAGAGACGCAAGGCCTGCGGGCTAGCTCAAAGGCGTGGCTTCCATTGTTACCTCTTTCCCAGCCACAGGTGTGCTGGCCTCTCAAGAGCGGGACTCTTCTTCTAAAACTTCTCTCCCACACTCTGAAAACTCGAGACAGCTTCACCTGTGACCTAGCCCAACCCGAATTCTTTAAGCACTGGAGGTGCCTCATGAGTGGGAGTGAACCCATCAGTCCTTTGTTTGTTTCTCGAGACAGGGCTTCTCGCGTCGCTTTGGAGCCTATCCTGGAATTCGCTTTGTAGACCAGGCTGGTCTCAAACTCACAGAGGTCTGCCTGCCTTTGCCTCCTGGGTGCTGGATGAAAGGTGTGCGCCACCACCGCCTGGTAAACCCTAAGGTCTTTGAGAGAAGAGGTGAGCTAACTCACCATGAGTAGCATTAAGAAAACTCATTAGGTCTAGGCCCAGAGAGCTAGGATGTCGGGGGGGGGGGGGGGAGAGAAAAGGAAACCCAAAAGCTCAGGCTCCATCTATGGAAAGTAGGGACGAGGTGAGAGCAGAAAGGCAGACTTCGGAAGGTCTGAGCAGGAGTGTGCAGCTGCATTGGGTCCTGTGCATCTCCGGCATGTGATTCTGAACATTTCTGCATGTCAACAGGAATATGTTTTGAAGAGAACGGACATCAAAGGAATAAAGCAATGATGAACATCCCAAACTCAGGCACTGATATTAAATGAATGGAACATGATGGGAAAACACAAAATTTTTCATCTCTTTTTCCTGGCCTTTCTCCCATACATCCTCAGGCTGGTACATGGAGCTGTTAGTGAGTGTATCCATGTCTTCTCTAATAAGGAGAATCCTTTCTACCCCAAATGAAGGGAGGATTATTTCTTATGAAAATCAGTCAGGGGCATGGTTTGCAACACCTTGGAGGAAAAGGGGTCTCTTTCTGGTCATTACAGTCATGCATTTGCTGTCTCCTTTCTTTAAGTCTGTACTTTTCTTAGCTTTAAGGGCCAGGAATTGGCACTACACTGTCTAGATGTTCACATGGTGCTTTAGGAAAGGTGTTTAGATTCACCTCCCTTGATGGTCAATGATACTGCTTTGAAACATCAACATATCGCAATAATTCCTGAAAGATAAGCAAGTTAGCTATCCATGAAAAAATATAAGCATTTTAGAATGTTTTTAATGGCTTTTCTCATGTCTATTTCTCTACATTTACAATGGTCTTCAAGGACACTCGAATACCCAAAAAAATTTTAAAGGCATTCTAAGTCCAGCAGCTCAATAGAATTGGTTTTCTCTAATGTCTTAAAAATATTTATTAGAATTACATTTTTAAAAACCTATATTGTACCATTTTTAAAACTTGCTCATAATTGCGGATTGTTTTTGTATGGTAATGAACTAGCCGTACCTTCCAGCTCCCTGCAGCCAAGTTCTGCAGGGCGCCTGCTGCCCCTTCCAGCGTGTCTGGATTTGAGCACTCAGAGAGCAGTGTGAGGTAGGGTTTGACTATGGATGGGTGCCACAGCATCTGGATCCCTTTGGGTGGTTCTGCACAGTCTGGAAGAGGTCCTACTCCATCCCACTGGGGAAAGAAAAACGAGAGAGTAAATATCTTTAACATCTTTATGCTCCACGATACCGCCTCCTACACAAATCACAGGTAAACACAAAAGCAGGCATTAGAGCATTCTGTCCAAACCAATGAAGCAGAGAGGGTCAGCAGTTGAAGAACCACCGAAAACTGGACAACTATTCTTGATACAGAACTTTTGATCAAGGCAGGATGGGGGTTGGCCTATTATCAGAAGGGACTGTGCCTAGCATTTGAAGGGGGTCCGCTCTTTGAAATTCTCCAACACAATTGCTAGGTCAAGGAAGGAGAAAGAGATGCATAATTCTGGTGTGCAAGAATGGCAAGATCAAGGTCACATATTTTATCATTGGCACATAGCAGACACTGCACAGAAGTGACAAGCTACCAGCCCAACACCTTCACTTATTTTGCATAAGTGTGATAACTTTTGCACAACCCTGGTAAGTTTCTATATGTCTTAGGCTTGATGTAGGTTACCGTCACTGTTAATTAACAAACACATAAAAATGTACAATGGAGAGCAAATTGTTATATTTGGTATATACATTCACATGAACTATGCAAATGTAGTCCTGGCTGTACTGAAGCTCATTATGTAGACCAGGCTGGCCTTGAACTCATAGAGATCTGCCCTTCTTTGCCTTCCCAGTGCTAGGATTAAAAGCATATACCACCATACCAGGTGGGCAAATTTAGATAGATCTTACTGCCATCCTAATACTTAAATTTACTTTCTGCTGAATATAATGAATAATAAGAGAATTTGTAACCAAAACCTAGCTGCATATAGCTTAAAAAATATGGCTTATATTCACAAAGATATACCAGTTCACCATAAAAAATGGTAGCCATGAGGACTGTGGCATCTTGGACAAATGGTAATAATAAAAGTTAAATGAATGAAGTAAAGGTGTAGGGGTTAATGTTTTATCCTAAGCAAATGCATTAGAAAAGCCTATAATAATAATAATAATAATAATAATAATAGTGAAAGCTTTAATAAAATGATTCAATTTTTTGCATATCAAGTTGCATACTGTTTCTTGATTTAGCGTTTCTCTGTGTAGCTTTGGAGCCTGTCCTGGAACTAGCTTTTGTAGACCAGAATGGCGTTGAACCCACGGAGATCTGCTTGCCTCTACCTCCTGAGTGCTGGGATTAAAGGCGTATGCCACCACCACCCAGCATAATCTTGTATCACACTTTTTTTTTTAAAGTAACAACATTAAAATAATTATATTCATCTTTGATCACATAAATCTTATCTTCTGTGAAAACCAAAGCCAGGGAACACAGGTCAAATTATATATCTATATCCATGTACATGCATATATATATACACACACACACACACACAAATATTACATTTAATCCTGAGATAACTTATAGACAAAGCAATTTCTTTAAGGTTTAGAGTAGAGATGCTAAGCTATCTGACTTATTATATACCTTAAAAACTACATCAAAGTAAGCACAGTTGATATATGTATTTAGTGTTCTTGCATACATTTTATGTGCATAGATATATCTGTAGATATGTCTACAGGTGAGCCAACATGAAAATATTACTATATTTCAGAATCAGGATAAGTACATGCAGTGTTTAAGTTTTCATCAGGGGAAGATCCTGGCTTGCCTAGTATCCTTGTTACATAAAAATGGAGACGTGAGAGAGACTTTGTTACTTAACTGCCATAATAGTTTCAAGAATTTCATTATTTTCCGAGGTAAAGATAAAGCGCTCCTGTCTTGTTTCTCTCAATTATGCTGTAGCTTGGTTTAAGTCAAGGCTGTGGCCTGGCAATGAATGCTATCCCACAGATGGTGGGTGGCTAAGTCATAAAAGGTCATTCCTAATTAGCTTGACATGCAATTTCAACTTTGTAATCAGGGCACTCAGTGTACGAGGCTTCTTGTTCTTTTCATCAAAGTCTCATCTTGACTGCTCCAAGAAGCCCCACGTCTGTGAACAGCCACCCATAGGAGAGGTTTATGCCTTTTAAATATTAGGAGGAAAGTAACTCAGCCCTGCTACACTGCTCCTCGCTTGTTATTCGAAAGTAGCTTGTTGCTAGAAGAGAAAGACAGCACCAGAGAAAGAGCAGACGTTCTGTAACTTTGCCTACTTCAGTGCCAAGCAGGAATAACACAGGCTTCTCAAGAGTCCAGACTGGCAGAGAGAGTATATCTTCTAGTACAAAAGATAGACAAAGATTTCATTTGTTCTTCTGTTTGTTTCATTTTCTAGTCTGTTATCTCTTAGAACATTTCAGGTTCTGAAAGTCTAATAAGATTCACAGAAATCAGAATGTAAAATTTCATACAAGCCCCATCAGAATGTAAAATTTCAGACAAGCCCCGTCAAGATTTATCTCTGTCAGGACAGACAGACAGACAGACAGACAGACAGACAGACACACACACACACACACACCCCACACAGAAGGAGTGTGTGTTGGGATGCTTGCTATGGGGTGTGGCAGCTGAGGTGCATGGGGACGACAGTCACATTCGCTTTGGTTGGAATTCATCCCGTTCCCCTTTTCCCAGCTCTTGCTCTATAAAGCAGGGTAAATGATTAGATCACTAGACACCTTTCTTCTGCTCTGACACGTCTTCTCTGCAAGCCTTAAATACCTTTTATTATAATCACGTCTTAACAGCTTCAGAGGAAATCCAAGGGAATAAAAGGACAACTGGGATGCACGTGGATAATCTTTGATGGTGACCAGGGGCTGGAGTTCAAAGGGGGAATCACTGCGATTTCAGAAAGTTGATGAAACCCACACATGTTAATACTGAAGAAAAAGAAGCCTGTCAATGTAACGGACCTTTATCTGGGCACTTTCTCCAAACTTTTATTGAGTTAATCAAAGGGAAAGCATCAATTTTCCATTAGAAACAGTTGGGAGCATTCTTTAAGAACTGTGTCAATATATGCGACCTTGTTTAGCTGGCTAATCAACACCAAGAAGGTGCAGGTCAATGTTGGTGTGGATTTAACAGATGCAGGTGAAACTATTCTATATGTAGCAACCGTTGATATTTCCTTTAGAATTTCACACATGAATGCTGTATTTATATTATTTCTACATCTTCCCCCTCTCCAACTCCTCCGTGTCCCCAGGATTCCCTCTCAAATTCATGATCTTTTCCTTCTTCAATTATTATTGTTGAGTATATATGAAAGAATAGTCCTGCTGAGTCCTTTTAGCATTGCTCATATGTATATTTGTTTGTGGCTGACTGCTTGGAATTAAATCTAATCGGGGGTTTGACCTTAGAGAAGACTGATTCTCCCTTTCTCAACAGCCACGAACCACCTGGAGCCCTTCATTTAGGGGTGAGGCCTTGGGAAACTCCTTCCATTCATGTTGGCATGTCCACTGGTGCTGGTTTTGTTTAGGTGACTCTGGTTTTGGGATTTGTACAGCATCCCTGTAGTACACAGCTGACCGTGTCTCCCAGCAGATGGTCTAGTCTTCTGGTTCTGACAACCTTTCTGCCCAGTTTTCTACAGTACTCCTTGAGCCTCAGGTGCAGAAGTACACTGTGGATATATCCACCATAGCTGGGTATTCCAATGACTTGCTCTCTGGATTTTGACAAGTTGTGGGTTTCTGCAATGGTTTCTATCTGCTGGGGAAAAAAGACCTTCCTTTATTGATAATGGGTGGGATCTACATTTATCTCTGGGTATAAGGTTGAGTGTTTAGAATGAAGTTAGAAATTAAACTAATTAGATAGCAGTAGGCTCTCCTCCAGGGCTCATCACCTCACCAGCCAAGGGTAGCTGCAGGGTTTACAGAACCAGAGCTTACAGGACTTACAACCATAATTAGACAGTTGTTGGTTACTTTCAAGATGTAGGTGCCACTATTTTACCCTCGTGGAGATCTGGCCATGTTGCTCATTGTCATGCTTCAATCCATTGCTGAGGTTCACTTTGCGGTGGCCTGGGACTACGGATTGGCTTTTCTCCTTTGGCAGCTTCATGGCACCTTTAGATACTATGAGAGTCAGTCCCCAGACTTTGTGCCAGTTCCACGGACGTCTGCACGTCCTATGTCAAAGGTGTGTGGTGTCTTCAGGGATGGGGTGTGTGTTCATCTCTCTACATATGAACGGCAAACGCTGACAGGTATGTGGAGGAAAGGAGATTACCATTCATTGTTTTGATTGCAAACTGGATCAGCCATTATGGAAATCAGTTTGGAGAATTCTCATAAAGCTCAAGATAGATCACATGGTGATATACGGTAGGACTGAAAACCCTCCCAGATAGTAGTACTGCATTACGTCATTTCTCTCCCTAGTTCCTCCTTCTGACTGTTGTCTTCTTGAAACTAGCCATTCCGATTGGAGTACGATGAAATCCCAAAGTAGTTGCTAAGGATGCTGAACACTTTTAAAGATATTTATTACCCATTTTTAGTTCTTCTTTTGTGAATTCTCTGTTCAGATTTATAGCCCAAATTTTAAAATCTGTTCATTTGTTTTCTTGATTCTGTTTTTTTTATTTGTTGATTCAGGTTATTAATCCCCTATCACATGCAGAGTGGAGAGAATTTCCTCCTATTCTGTGGGTTTTCTCTTCACCTGGTAGAGTATGTTCTTTGTTGTATACCAGTTTTTAGTTTTACAAGGTCCCATTCGTTAACTATTGGCTTTAATTCCTGAACGAGTGGAGTTCTATTCAGAATTTCTTGTGTTTACATTGTGTGGGGTACTGCTTATGCTTCCTGAGCACTTTCAGGTGTATCATCAAGATCTTGGCATATAAAGGATAATAATAAAACTAGAATAAACAAAACCAAACAAGCTGGAATATGTCAAGCTGGAATATGTCAAGCTGGAATACGAAAGCATCAGGCATGGCAGTGCATGGGATGCTGGCCTGGTGGCTGGCATGGTGGTACATGGGATGCTGGCCTGGTTGTGCATGGGATGCTGACACATGGTGGCTTAGGAGCTGAAGGAAGGAGGCT